TCCAGTAGACTAAATTTATTGCCCCCTTTTTCTCAGGTGGACACACATATTCATGCAGCTGCCTGCATGTCTCAGAAACACCTGCTGACCTTCATCCAGAAAACATATAAGACTGATGCAGACCGTGTGGTTTTGGAAAAGGCTGGACAAAAGATGACTCTAAAGCAGGTTTTCCACAGCCTCAATAAGGACCCCTATGACCTTACTGTGGACTCCCTGGATGTACATGCTGTAAGAACAGAAGAAAATGTCACTATGAGTTAGCATTATGTTTTCATAAAATGTTGTGCTGTGTGTTGATTTTTAGAAATGGTGAGTAAAATTATTAACCCCTCTTAATTTTGCCAGAATGTGACAACAAACAACTTATTGTGTCACTGTCAAGGAAGAAATGCATAGACATTTCATGTAAAAAATCTCTCTTACTAAAATCTTAATCTTACAGGTGAATACCCGTAGCACTTTGTCATGACCAACCATTCTGGGTTCACGATTATGCTTTTTAATTTATGCATTTTATTCACAGGGGAGACAAACTTTCCACCGGTTTGATAAGTTCAATTCAAAATATAACCCAGTGGGAGCCAGTGAACTCAGAGAAATCTTCCTGAAAACAGACAACCTCATTAATGGAGACTATTTTGCTCGTATCATAAAGGTATCATATCACATAATCCTACATTTGAAGTCAGAAATGATGCAGATACAATTTTGCACACTCTCCTTCTCACCTTTAATAGGAAGTGGCCCATGACCTGGAGGAGAGTAAGTATCAGCATGCAGAGCCACGCCTGTCTATCTACGGACGCTCTCCAGAGGAGTGGGACAGTCTGTCTAAGTGGTTCATTCATCACAAAGTGCACTCTCCAAACATGAGGTGGATCATTCAAGTGCCCAGAATATAGTGAGTGCCACAGCCTTAGGTAAAAATTCAAGTGTCTAATTTCAAAGAAATTTCTTGAAATATGAAATCTGGAAATTCCCTAAATATATGTTTTTCAGTGACATTTTCAAGTTGAAGAAGCTGGTACCTAATTTTGCCAAGATGCTGGAGAACATATTCCTTCCTCTGTTTGAAGCCACTGTAAATCCACAGAAGCACAAAGAACTTCATGTTTTCCTCAAATATGTAAGATGTTGTACTATTTTTCAGGTATTAGGAGTAAAGTGTTTAATAAATTATGGGCATAAACTTGTAAATCATGCCTTTAAATTATTAAGTGGTGTTGACAAAAGTAAGGATTAGTTTCCTCAAGTTTATAATTTATGCCTAATTACTATTCTACCTAATTACCTTACTGTTATGAATTTGTGAAGGGTAACACTTTACATTAACTTTAAATTTAGTATTCATATGTAGTATATGAATGTTTGACCATACACTATAATGAAGTGTTATGTGAAGTGTTGCGGAGGCTGGTGTATAAACAGATAATGACTGACAGTGTAGTATAACGCAGTTGAAATATTTCAAAATGTGTCTTCATAGGGGACATTACAATTGTTGACAAATGCTGTACTTTAATAAACAATGAAAACTGCCCTTATATCTGTGTACCACTACATTGAAGTGTGTTATCAAACAGTTGTTAAATGTTTATATATTGCTTATAAATGCTAAATGTGTTACCTTGTGGGAATTTATTTGGTATGTATATAATATGAGGATATAATGAAAAAAATCAAGGCTATTAGTTAGTAGTTTGGGTTAAGAAATTAAACAATTAATGGGGAAGAATGATCACTTTGATGGAACTAATTACTAATATTTGTGATATCATTATAAATACATCTGCCAGACCTCATAAACCATCATGATAGTAAATGACTGCTTTTATTTTTTTCTGTATGTTCAGGTGTCAGGCTTTGACAGCGTGGACGATGAGTCCAAACACAGTGATCACATGTTCTCCTTCAGGAGCCCAAAGCCAGAACAGTGGACTGCAGATAATAACCCTCCCTACAGCTACTACATCTTCCACATGTATGCAAACATCATGGTCCTCAACAACCTCAGAAAGTAAGAGCTAATGTCTCCTTCCTTCTTCAGAATACACACCTCATTAAAGGAGAGTGTTTTTGACAAATATAGGGCCTTACGGCCTTAGAGCTCTCAGGGAAGAGAAATTAATTAATCGTTGGGCAGAAAAAAGCTATCAAGTACTGAACTACTGAACAATCATAGCTGAGGAGAGCAACTTCAACATCTCAATATAAACTGCACCTGATATATATAAATTAATACAAGGATGAACAGAATTACACAATGTTTGATTTGCTCATTAATTGATGTGTTTATGTCTTTGTGTGTCCTCTGTAGAGAGCGTGGACTGAGCACTTTCCAGTTCCGTCCCCACTGCGGAGAAGCTGGATCAATCACTCATTTGGTCTCTGCCTTCGTCACCACTGACAACATCTCACATGGACTCAACTTGAAGAAGGTACTTTAGATTTGTTGACAGGACCAACCATTTACAAGGATCATAGAGTAATCCTTCTCAAGCCAGGGAGAAACCAATATCTACTCCTGGAAACAGGCCTAGGAGCTCACAGATGCCTGAAGGTTGTCTTACTAAATTAAGATAAAAAGAGATAGTGTTGCTTTTACATCACTCATCGCACCAAGTCCAAATCCGCCCTCAGCCTCGTCTTAGCTGGAGGAGCTCATGTCCTCTCTGCAATTGAAAAAAATGTAATTATTGAGAATCTCCACTGATAACTACAACTATGATATTCCGTATTCTGTAATTGCTTATGTTACCGCCCTTAACTCAATTTAATAATCATTAAATGAGCTAGCCTATTTTTATTTCCAACAATTGTGTTGGGTGGAGTACAGAGCGACAACAAAATAAAACAAATTTGTTATGCCATTGTTATTATATAACTCCCTCTTTCTGTTTTTTACTCTGATTTGTTTCGATGTCTCTTTACTTTAGACAGAAAGGCAACATAATCAAAGCTCAAATGAACTTTTCCTCCTTTGGACTATTTTGAAGTGTTTGATGGATTGAGTTTTATAGCTTGTGTATCCAAAATGTCCTGCAGACTCCTCACTTGTATAGTTGTCGTTTATTTTTGTGGAACAGCTGAAAATTTGAGAACTCTAGGAGAGGGAGAGGAAATTGGATGTTTTGAATTTCCAGTGGATGTACAGTATGTTCCAACAACAGAGCCTAGAAAGTGAATCCCTTAGAAATAATAATTTATCACAGTGACTCCCTGATAATGCTGTTCAACCCAGACTGCACAGATCTACAGTATTTTGGTCATTTTGTCCAGTCTGGTAATGAGTTTCTTATTTCCTTGTTGCTTTTTGATTTTATTTGTGTAACTTATTCACTACAATTGCAATGATCCAGCAGTATCTCACTGTATCTAAGACTGGACAATGTGGATAAAGGACTACAAATTGTAGCATATATAGGCCTAGTATTATACAATATGAGCAGTAGCATTGAAATATCTGAAAAATTCATTATGGAAGAAGTCATGCTTGTAAAATGTACATCAAACAGCAGCAGAGCTTTATCCCTCTCTGTGTACTGTGTGTGTACAATACATTTTTGTCTGAGTGTAAAGTAGTATTTATTGTAGTGTTTATTGTTTTAAACTTCCCGTTCCTTCAGAGCCCTGTGTTGCAGTACCTGTACTACCTGGCCCAGGTGCCAATCGCAATGTCTCCACTCAGCAACAACAGTCTGTTCCTGGAATACTCCAAAAATCCTCTCAGAGAGTTCCTGCACAAAGGCCTGTGTGTCTCCCTGTCCACAGATGATCCCATGCAGTTCCACTACACCAAGGTAAACAGAATTAATACAGGAATATACAGGAAATATAGTGACTTCTAGGCTGCTGTGCAGTATATCCGAATCACTGTATGATCATCGTACTATATGTAAGTTCTGCAGCGTAAATAATTTCTTATCCATTGTTTGTGTGCCCTGATTCTAGGAACCACTGATGGAGGAGTACGCCATAGCTGCTCAGTTGTGGAAGCTCAGCACTTGTGATGTGTGTGAAATAGCCAGGAACAGTGTGCTGCAAAGTGGACTGTCTCACCAGGTACAGTGACACTTTCAAATCCACAGGCAGAGCCACATGTCCATTACGTTTAATCAACATTGGTCCAATTTGTCTCCCAACAATTTAATTTATTGTTTATTTACAGGAAAAGATGCACTTCTTAGGAGTGAACTATCTAAAAGATGGACCTGAAGGAAACGATATCCGTCGGACCAATGTCGCCCAGATCCGCATGGCCTACAGACACGAGACACTGTGCAATGAACTCAGCTTCATAGTTGATGCTGTGAAGTCTGATCTGGTGAATGAGTAAAATGGACCTCACATTAGATTGAATCCAAGCATGCTGAGCTCCCAGTTACCGCCATTTACTTTTAGCTTGAAAATTGGCACTGAGTGACCATATTGATTAAACAAAGACAAATGAGAAGAGAAAATTAGCTGCTCACATATTCATAACAAAGGAGTTTGGTAAAGTGAGGATGCATGACTTGGATGACTGATAGCACTTTGGTTCTCAAAGGGTGGAGAGCTCGATGTGTAAAGCAGAATTACACGTTTGTCATCACACAAACCCACTATGTATAAACAACTGTACCTTACACTCCATTTTGTGGTAGGGGTATGTCATAGAAACTGTTTGAAAGTTTTTCAGGTACTGTATACACTGCACATCAGACATACGAACACTTGAGAGCTTTGCACAATGTTAGTTCAGACAACTCTGACAACAGATGGAGGATGTCTGGGACATTTCCTCTGTCTCTCCCTTAAATAGCTTGTTTCAAGAGGTTTCAGTGATTTTTTTCTTTTGGAAAGTTATTGATATAAGAAAGATTAAGAAGATACCTGAGCTCGTAATGATAGGCTCTTTAAAAAACAGTTGTAGCAAAGTATCTTTTACATGTGTGTTGACTGCAGCAAACAGTGTGTTAAAATAACGTTTGTAAATGATTGTATTGCAAACATTGCCATCTAGTGGCTAAAGTGCACAATTTAATAACATCAGATAACTAAAAATAATAAACACATACAGTATAACATGCAAAAAAAAAGAAGCTATTTACAGCCATTCTGTTACATTACTTTCACATAAACAAAGGTCCTTAAAAAAAATATTACTCAGTAGTTTTCATGGTACTCAGTCCATGGTGTGTTTCTTTGGTGTACCTCATCAGCAAAACCTTTAACTTGCATTGTCATCCACTTCTATCCTTTCATCCTCCTGAACATCTGCCTTGGTTTCCCTTATAGCCTTCATACACGTCCAATCTTCTGTCTTGACGTACTCCTGCTGCTGCTCCTTGTCAGAGCTCTGAGACCAACTCCTCCTTTTCACAGAGAAAATGAAAAAATAATCATATAATGTACAAATAGATATAATAATAACAAAAGGAGAAACATGATATAATGCAAAGTACCTGGAATTTGACATGAAAGAAATATACTATCAGTTTTCTCACAGCTCATTATCATTCAGCTTTCAGTGCTGATACTGCATAGCTTCTTTCAGTAGTGATATTTTATGTATGAACTTTTTTAGATATTGGTTCTCTAAAACATGATTTAAACAGCAAAAAGTTTGTTTTCAGACCTCAGTATCATATACAGTATTTTAATATGGAAAACCACTCACAATGTTAGATATGCAAGGACGATTATTGCAATGAGGAGAAGGGCACAGGTTGAGGTGATAAGTACAGTCTTTGCTGGAACAATGAAACATGAGAGGAAAAAGACATTAGTCATACAAAACAAAAATAACATCTAAACATTTAGATAAAAGGTCATTACTTGTATTTTACAGTTGTTACTTATACCTTTTTTACATAGTGTGCTGTATTTTCTGTAAAGTACGAAAAGAATGAAATGAAAGGTTCCTCTACAGTATTGATTCTGTTGTGAACAAGATTCCCATACCTCCAGCAGAGCCTTGTGCACTGCCAACATAGAGGGCTGGTTCTGCCTCATTGTCTATGGCTTTAGGGGCTGAGGAGGAAGGAGGAAAAGGGGAGGAGGAAGACGTAGAGTGTGTTGTCTGGATGGAGTTTGTTTGCCCTGAGTAATCCCTGCTGCTCAAAGGCCTGTCACTTGTTGTATCCTTCAATTGTGTCGCTACATCTGTACGTGTACATGAAGGCAAAGACAGATTAGATCATTATTCTATGAAGTGCATGTCATTTATTAAATGTACCTTTGTTTGTGCAATTCATTATTTTTTTATTTGTTTGAAAACTTGAACTTAAAATCCTATTGAATAGACATAACACAATTGAGGAGGTTTAAACAAACTGTTAATGTTCTCCAGAAGTTCAGTCTTAACTTTAATGCAAATATTTTCTCAGAAATTTTGGAGCAAAGTAGTTTTCCATAAAAAGTTATGTATATGCTAAAAATGCAGCTGAATCTTATACAAGAAATTGCGATTCAAATCAATTCATTAATATAAATCTGAATTAATACCTCCTGAAAAATATCAACTCATATCATCTGTTTTTGTCTAAAGAACCAAAAGCCAGGGCTGTGTTGAGAACAACATGCATGATATCTTCAATGAACTGTTGCCACTTAGTGAGGTTTCTAAAGCACTACAGAAAAATACATATTAAAAAATCATACCTGATTCATTGAAGCAAAACACATCAAACTTTTTTGTTACAGGGGCTCGCCATGTCACCAAGCCTGTCTGGCTTTTGCCACAATTAGAAAGTGCCGTGATGCGGGGAATGATTGCTAAATGTTCATCGATCCATCCAAACCTGAACAAAACAAAACAAAACAAAATGTGAGATCAGGCACTTTTCAGTGAACTCTTGTGCATCTATTCTCTGATCTTACCTGCATGTTTCTAAACCTCTTGTGAGTGCATCCTGTACTTGTGCTTTTGAGGCAATGTTCACTCCAAGGAACGAGCAGAGTCTCCGAGCTTCAGATGCATTGAAGGCATACTGTGGCTGGTTCAGGTCATTTATGGAGCTAACCTGGAATATTCCAGCAATACTCTGGTTCACTGCTGGGAAAACTAGACACAAGATGTAGCACATGTTAAGATTTCGATTTAATGTATTTGCAGAAACAGCAATATGATGAAACAATAAATATTGCTGTTGACCAGAGGAGTTACATATATACAGTTAGGTATTTGGTAGAAATATACAAATTGACAAATGTTAAATAATCCAGAATTACTTACCTCTGATGTGGCTTGTGTCAAAAACTTGACCAGAGATGACTGAAGTAATTGACAACACTGATGTGATGCAAAGCCAGATCATATTCATGACTGCTCAGAGTAGAGAGACGGATGAATACCGGGGATGACAAGTGTTGCACAGCTTATGTGTCTGTGAGCAAAATGACAGGGTTAAATAGAGGTAATCCCGTTCACTGGGGTCTGTGGACTCGGCCTTTGCCAGAAAGTAAAGGAAAAGGAAGAGGGAAGTACTGTGCATAGGTCAGATTAAGAGCCATCATATGTCCCAAGAGCAGGACCCAGGAGAGAAATATAGACAAAACTAATGTGTCAGCATGAGACAAAGCTACAGAAAATTCTGTTGCATTTTCAGTTTTGCTTTTTCAAAAAACACAATTTCAACACAAGAAATAATGAGTTGCTTCAGTCTTAATACTGACTTGTTAGGTATGATTTATTAAAAGGTTAACTCATCTAAATGAAGGTCGTATGAATTACACTAGTGAAGGGCTTTTCACAGTGTAGAGTGGATTCATGTTCCAGGAATAATGAAATGATGATTGACAAAAATGTTCTTTGATTTAAACAAGTGCTTTCCGTTAAGTACTTGTTAGATGTCAGTGAAAATACAGTTTATAACAAAGTACAAAGCCAATAAAAATTTGCTTCCGGAGAGATGAAAATAATAGTGTTCAACATGTGATTCAAGCCTGTCCTCATGGCGTAAGTGATTTGCACTGTTAGTGACATCTGACTGTGGGCTCCCTGTCCAGATGATTTCCTCCCTTGAGGCATTACTCAGTCATGAACACACGTATGATCTCTGGTATCCTCTGATGAGTTTTGGCACATCACGACATCCCACTTCCACAAAAACATCTCTGCACGAGCCCTGACGGCAGGAAATGACGCAAAGTGTGCTGACGAACACATAGCCGTGTTTTTTTTTTTTTTTATCAGATGTGAGGCGTCAATGAGGTGTGAAGGCATAATAAATGACGATCTGGAGCTGTGGAAAAGGACAAATATTACATTTCTCTTGGGTTGGGTTTGTGTGTTTATGGGGCCATTTTAAGACCTTATTCAGTCACATTACATTATACTAAATTGTTTCCTCAGTTAATTAAGCTACTCCAGTGAGAATAGGATGGAATAGGCTTTTTTTCCACAGCAGACATTTTGATTTATTACAGAAAGAAAAACACAGGTGTTACTAATAACATTAATAATGCCCCTGTTTATTTCGAGTGTCCCATTAAATCATGAGTGTGACAGTGAGCCAGCCTGAACAATACCAGGACCCTGGAACAGAAGCAGCTAAATGGAATCCAGCCATTGTTATTTTTATTATTTACACCTGTGTTTTTTCAACTGCGACACATCAAAATGTCTTCAGTGAAAAAGCCCAACTGATTACATAATTTAAAGAAATACTTTGATATTTGAGGAAATTCTCGTTTGCTATCTTGTCAAAAGTTATATTGATTGGACGTTGATACCACACGGTTAGCTGATGGCTTAACGTTTGCCTAAGGACAAAAAACACTGGGAGTTTCAGCTGGCAACCTCACATTAACAACGAGACTCCAACTTTTCATTTTTACCATTTGGTTTTTGTTTCAATAAACATAGAAGACATGTTCATTAGTGAGTTTTAGAGGTGCTGCAAGGTGGATTTGATCACCTTTAGACTGAGCGAGGCTAGCTGCTTCCCCCTGTTTCCAGCCTTTATGCTAAGCTAAGGTCACTGCTAAACTAAGCTAACTGACTAACTGCTGATTGGTTTAATTTCTTTCATCTAACTGTGAACAAGAAAGCTGAAAGCATGTTAGAAAAGAGATTACAGCACTATCCAGCACCTTATATTTGTCACTATGGAAATGACGACTGAATACTTTCAGGCACCTTTATTTAAAAAGGTGAAGTGGCAGAGCATAAAATCCACAAAAATCAAACAACACAGGCAGGCACACGTGCAAAGAAGATAAAAATAAGTCTCATGCCATCTAAACAGTGCTCTCATACAAGACGAAAATCTCTCAGTGCTCTGAAGACACAATCCAAAATGGCACAAACAAGGACCATCAACTGCAAAATATTGCACTTAAGGAACTACTTTGGAATGTGCTTACATGTTAAAGTTTTTAAATACACATGATGGAACTTAAACAAATAACAACAATCCTTAAATTTCTATAGCTTTAAATACAAATTAAAAATTTCTCAGGGTAATCATCATCTGTTGGACCTGAGAGATTATACTTTAACATTATAGTGTAGATAAATACACACTTCTTCTACTGTGGCATTTAATGGAACGTGCCAGATTCATCATCCAAAATACCAGAACCAGAATGTATCATTATTGTATGCATCTAATTTAAATACATGTATATTTCATCACATCATATAATTGGTCCCTAAACAGAAATAATTGTTTTTCTCGCTGCAGCAAACAATGTGTCGACTTTTTAATCCGAACATAATCATAACTTAACCATGACAAAGGCAACATTATCCATAAAGCCTCCCAGAATGTCTCTGACCCTCCAGAGTCAGGGTCATGGATTCAAGTGAGTCCAAGTGTGATGATATGGTAAATCGACAGAAACAAAGAATGACTGCAGTCTCTGTTTTTCTGTAGTGGGGTTCTTTGGTTGTGCTGCTACACTCAGTCCAAAGATCTTCTTCTTGTCTGGCATAAAAATCCTTCTCTCCTTACGTGTTCTCACGTCTGTTGTAGTAGTCACTGAAAAATGTAAAAATACTGATAACCAGACACATCATCACAAACAGTGTCAGGGCGATCCAGAGAACTTGCCTACTGAAGGAAATCTTCGGACAAAACCGACCAAAAAGAGCCACGACCTCCTCCATCCTCCTGTGAAGACAAGGACACCAGTGCAGTGTACAGTATATATTGGATATTTTAATTGCTGTCTACATTTTTACCATATGTTCAATTGTATTGATTGTTTGCTATTTGTTGTTCTTTGCCATTTGCATTCATATAAAATATTAAATTGAGGTGTCATTACTATGGAAGAAATAGCTGGTTTTCAGAGGATGTACTGTGCAAACCATTTTAGCAACTCTCGCATGCAATCTGAATACTGCTGAGTTGCTGTTTATATCATACATCAAGAAACATGATATAATACACCGTATATTTCTTTTGTTGCAGGGATAATTTAACATTTTGACACTCATTTGGTTTCTAGATGAGAGTTAGATGAGCAGGTTGATACCATGCCAGTTAGCTTAGACAACACTGATTGTTGTGGGTTTTATGGGGAGGTTATGAGTCAGACTATCTCCTGGCCGGGCGCAGCAACTTCCTGAAGTGTTGTTGTCACTGTGAGGTTGAGAAATAGTAGCACACAATGCCTGTGAAACCACAGTGTGTTGTTTTTGCCAGGTTTAAACAAACAGATATAACGTGTTCATTAGTGAGCTTTAGAGGTTCTGCTAGGTGGATTTTATCAACTTTGGATGGAGTCAGACTAGATGTTTCCCTCCTTGATCTTGACAAGAAAGGGAATAAGCGTCAAGCTGTTGCAATTTAAGACAGATCCAGTTTACCTGCTCGTCTTCATCTTCCTTCCACTTTCCTCGTCCTTATTTTTTGATTCCAGCAATTTCTCAGCAGCGTTTTCCTCGTCATGCTTTTCTTCCTGCAGTGCTGTGATGTGCTTCAGCCCCTCTTGGTACCTGCATTTGAAATGTTCACATTTACTGTATATAGATGGATGTCCTGTAATCTGTCACTGCTGTTGTATTTTGTGTTTACTGTAAATGTCTCAAAGTCTTTATGCAGCATTATATAGGACTCACCTGCACCGTAAATTTGGTGACGATAAGCAACAACAATGTCAATGTGTTTGTGTGGAGTTATCTAGCAGGAGAGAAGGCCTCACCCTTTATTGTACGCCTCCTCCTCCATCTTTGCCTTGATTTCGGCTCTGATCTCAGCTCTGATCTCCTCTAAGTTGACTGAAGGCTTGGCTGGCTCACTTTCCTGCTCCAACACACTCTTTCCACTGCATTGTTTCAGATAGGAAAGAACAGTCAGCCTTGGACACCACCACAGCAGGCATTATCAAACCGAGAGGAGTGTACATTTAGGTTCCATCACAACACCGTGGCCTTGTCTTATAATGGACAAACTGTAGCAGCGGCTGAGCGGTAGTGTACATTACAGACACCATCACAGGCATGGCGAGCACAGACAGAAAAAAAAAAATTATCAAACCGAGAGGAGTGTACATTTAGGTTCCATCACAACACCGTGGCCTTGTCTTATAATGGACAAACTGTAGCAGCGGCTGAGCGGTAGTGTACATTACAGACACCATCACAGGCATGGCGAGCACAGACAGAAAAAAAAAAATGGAGCTGGCACTCTACACTTTTGTTATTGCCATTCTCGTCTCTTCACAGAACATCGAGCTCAGACACTTGAGAGCTTTACTCACCCTCACTTTAAAACCAGGATATGATTGGAGCCTAGCGCCTGGACTTTGTCAAACTCTTGCACAAATGTTTAGATTACGACCCAGGATAGCATATCCATCAACCAAAGCAGGGTTTGATTATTTTTTATGCTTTCAGGGTTATTTTCACTTCACTGGGGCTTTCTCTGCACTGTAAAACACATCCTGAAGGTCACACAAACAAGCCAAAGGTCCCACTGCAGCTGAAAATGCTTTTGATAAGAATGATTAGAAGTTCTGGGTTTTTCTTGGCCCATTGTTTCAAGGACTGTGGAGTGACCTTGGGAATCAAGCAATGGTATGTGTACATATAGTGAATGCAGTGTGTGTGTGTGTGTGTGTGTGTGTGTGTGTGCGTGTGTGTGCGTGTAAGCAAAACACCACCAGAACACAAAACATACCATTCTGCTGCTGGTTGGGCTGTATCTGTGGAAGCGCTGACTTTCACATCATTCGCTTCACACTAAAGAGGAGAGTGTTGAAGAATATTATTGCTTTTTAACAATAATACACAATTAACAGGCATGGCAGAAGTATTCATATCCTTTTCCCTAAGTGAAAGTATCAATACCACAATGTAAAAATACTTCAAGACACATTAAAGTCCTGCATCTAAAATCTTCTGAATCTTAATACCTAAGTGTTGTCATGTTGAGAGAGTGGGTGTCACTTCATTAGATGCTTTATATGTCATTTCCCATAATTTCCCATAATTTCCCAACAGGACAGGAAGACCTACCAGGACAGGAAGAGCAGTACCAGTGGTGGGTCCCGCGTTGGGGCCTGAGGCCGGGTTGGGGCCCGGGCCAGCTGTGGCTGGAGTCTGACCTGGGATGTTCAGGAGGTTAAACTTAGGCACCACTGCTACACTCACCCTGCGTCTGGGCAGAGCCTACAGGGGGCCGGGTGAAAAGGCGACAGAACAAGCAACAGTGTTGCTGGTAAGAGCAGAGAATGAGGATATCAGGGATGATGAAATTTTGGAAATTTACAACTACAAAGAGGTCATGATGTCACTGAAAGAAGAGACAATTTCATTTCATTTAAACACGAAACAGAAAAGAACATAATTCCTCGGTCCGGACTGACTTATCACGGCAACTGCTGCGTGGATGGACAGGAGTGATGACATTCATGTTCCCCAGAGGATGAATCCTAATGATGTTGGTGATCCTCTGACTTTTCTTCTAGCGCCACCATGAGGTTCACATTTGTGGTTTTGATTGAAATGTCTCAACAACTACTGGATGGATCATGAAATTTGGTGGACACATTCATGTTCCCCCCAGAATGAATTGTAACAACTTTGGTGAACACATAACCTTTTCATCTTTTATTCACTTGGCTGCGGCTCAGGGGGTAGAGCGGGTCGTCCACTAATTAGAAGGTCGGTGGTTCGATCCCCCCGCTCCTCCAGGCTGTATGTCGAAGTGTCCTTAGGCAAGATACTGAAATCCACATTGCCCCTAATGGCTGTTCTATCAGTGTGTGAGTGTGCGTATGATGTATAAATGAATGTGGCAAATATTGTAAAGTGCTTTGAGTGGTCAGGAAGTGCATTTACCATTTAAAATGGCTACAGATGTGTCGTCAGAATGTGTGTGTTTTGTCTATTCAATTTACAACTATATGAAACAGAGAAAAGCAGCAAATCCATATATTGGAGAAGCTGGAACCAGAGAACGTTTGGCATTTTGCTCGATACAGTGAAAACAATTAACCAGTTATCAGAATTGTTGTTGATTCATTTTCTTTTGATCGACCATTCAATTAAATGACTAATTATCTCAGCACAATAAAACACATTATGCAGAAAAACTTACCTTTCCAAGAGTGAGGGACATTGATCTTGACGGCCGTGGAACTCCATCATCTTTATAAAGACAGGAGAAAAAAACCCAGAGTACAGTATTATGTAAGCGCCTATTTTCATGCTGCAGAGCTGCAGTGAAGCCGCTCAGCGACACATTAGTATAGTGCAGTTACAGCGGAAAGTTCCCTGGTCGGGGAAAAAATGTAATGTCAGGATTTTATATGAATGTTTTCATTAGTGTAGTCTTACCTCCAGTGTCTACAGACCCTCCGTAACAGCGATTTGAGTTCTGGTTGGCCAGCTTCTTAAACTCCATCAGCTCAGCATGGTCCTTCTCATACGTCCTCTTCAGATTTTCCACATATTGCATCATGACCTCAGTGGCTTTGTTCATACGTTTCTCCTGTTGCACAATGAAGAAGTCGGTCAATAAATTTTAAAGTTATAATAACATAAACCATGTACTATTTCAAGCTGAATTAATTGATTTTTGTCGACTAGGGGGCAGAAGATATCCTAAACAAGGTGACAGACACGCAACCCTGACCTTTTTGCAACCTGATGAATGTAAGTCCAATTTTAATTTGGATTTTAAATACTTTTTTTATGGCTTGGTCTCCTGCGACTTCTGAGAAAAACTTTCCAGCTCTTCAGCTTATTAGATGTTCAACTTTCATTACCGGCTGGTTGAAAGTATGTCTGCTGTTTGGTGCTGGGCAGATAGCGTACTGTTCATCGGAGCTTGTTTGCTGACAACAACTGGAAACAGGCTTGATAAGAGTTAATGAGACTGAGACTGTAAAATGTGCCGTAAAAGCAGAACAATGAGCTAAAAGGTGCCATAGAACTGCAATATTTGGTGATAAATCTCTGTGGTTCAAGCCTTAATGTCACCAATTTCAGATTGTTGTTTTATCATCACTATTTTTTGGATCTTCAGTCTTTACTCAATCACTGCTCCAAGTTATTTTATCCATTTATAGAATGTTGATGCCAACAAATATGATACATTTGTTTGGGTCAGCCCACAAAGAAGAAACTGGGAATATACAACAAGTTGTTACACACAGGGAAGGAACCATTTACCAGCTGTGTGCTGTACTCCACACTAAACATGCTTTAAAGTAAACTTAAACAACTCTGTTTGTGTCCAGACATTCACATTACATCTTTCTGGTGAGATGCTAAAAAGGTTAAATGCACAGAACTCATGGAGAGTAATACCTGGTGGAAAAGGCAATATGTTATTATTATGGTAACCAAGCCTTTTACTTGAAACAACATGTGATACTGTGACATCAAGGAAAATCACAAATTTGTGTGAGGCAGTGGATACCGAGAATCTAAAACGCCACATTTTTAGAACATATGAATGTCATTAAACGTGGCTGTCGAGAAAACCAGAAACTGACTCAACAGACTTTTATTGATGCAACATAAAATGCCATGTTATGGGGGCGCCTATAATTTTCTGTGCAATTATTATGAAGTTGTTATTAATGGCTGGGCAGTTGTACAAAGAAATGACAGAAAGAGGCAGTGATTCATCTCAGTGGTTTGGGGTTATAAATAGCTAAAGACCTTTGTACTGCAAAAACAGTAAATTTGCTCTTTTAGTGATGTTTGCTTTGGCCGGTTCAAGGTCGGCCATGACATCAAATAAAAGTCTTCACCATAATTTTTCAAATGCAGCCAAAAAGGCGCTCCAGTGGTCCCAAGACATTCTGACGAAGACAGTATCGTTCAAACACTAAGCTGTACTGTATGTGCACAAAATGCAGCATCTGTCCCTAAACTGTCCTGCATTGTCTCGGTTTGCATTGTCATCTGCGTTTGTTTGTATAACTGCACCTGTCGAACTGCTCCAACTATCTCTGCTCGGCTGGAGAGCCGTGTGGCCAGGCGGTGGAGCACTGCTACCGTCTCTACGAGGCGCTGGTAGGCCTCACGCTGCTCCAGGTTCTGCCACTGCGGTGCCGTCATCTGCAAGAAACACACAAACAGCATCCATCATGTAATAACTCCTTCAGGAACACAAAGTGTACATCACTGTCCCTTTTGTACCGGGGGTTGGACTCTTTCTCAGACGAGATAAATATTTACTGTGGGACACTTCCAGGAAACATTAAGTAGATGAAGGAGCACTAAAGAGCCAGGGGGAATTCTGCTTTTTCTAGTGCGTTGATATAAGATGCTGTTTTCGAGGACCAACCTTTAGTGCTCCTTTGAACTCTTCTAGTTCTTTCTCTGTGTCTTCCTCAGTCAGGTTCCTCTCCCTCTCTGCCTGTTTGAGCCGCGTCTCCAGAGTGTAGTTGTCATTGCGAAATGCCAGTGACAGCTGGACAAATGCATTCTGTGGGGAGGAAGTTGCCGCAATATAACACTCAAGATGGCATATTAAACAACACATGAAACACAGATGAGCTGCTGGTGGTGGCAACACACCAACACAGTGGAATCAATCAGAGGACTCCATATAAAACTCTCCCACAGCACAGCACAGCACAGCACAGCACAGCACAGCACAGCACAGCACAGCACAGCACAGCACAGCACATACACAGGCTAAATGAGAGTCAGTGTGGTTTGTTTATGTAAGGCTAATATGCGTTTTTATTGGTTAACGTGTGAGGGAGAATCGAGCAGCCCTGAGATGAGCCTGGGGAACAAGCTGTGATACTGACACTTGACCTCCTGATGTTTTGCTGCGTTGATCAAAGCCAGTCTGTAAAGTTTTCCAACATATATGCGCTACAGTTGAAAGGAAATATACGACCTCTGACTGTCCTGATCCAGACGCATCCCAGAGGGAGCAGCGAAAGGGGCTACAGCCCCGAGTCTGACAGCGTCACTAATGTTTGTATTTTCTCCACAGGAAATCGCTCTTGCGTCTCTTTGGTCTGATCAGGAACAGAAAAACACTTTCCTGTTGACAGAGCACCACAGACTCCAGGCAGCCAATTTTTACGACGGTAATGAACTACTTTGGTAACAAAACAGGTTATTATAAACATGGGGCGACACGTGGCAAATGTTCAGCAACGAGTAGAACAATAGGCTACATCTGTCTCCACTGTTTGAACAGAGCTTTCTGCTTAAAGCAAACACATTATTGTTGGCAGGCGATTTTATGACTCATGTACACATTTAACTACTGCGAATCATTTTGAGGGGCAGAAACAAGAAAATTAAATTTAACGGTATATTTTATTTGGGAAGCAGAACATGCCTTAAACCAAAATTGTTTGTGCTATTTGACAGTTTAAGTAAATAACCGTTTTTGTAAATAAGTTGAGTCTCTTACTTCTTTTCCATCATGTAACATGAGAGTTTAAAACGCAGACAGCACAAGCAAAGCACCGCAGGAAAACTCAAAATCAGTACTTTCATATATGCTTCATCATGAGTGGGAACAATTGTGATGTTTTGTGACTGGGTATCATTTTAACCAGGAGAAACATGAAAAAATCAACAACCTGTACAAATCAGATACCGACCTCAACCTCCTTTTCAGTCAGTGGTGGTGCACTGGAAAGAAATCAGAGATTAACTGTTAGTAAGGTAGGTAATGTACGTATTTACACACAGTCCTATTTTTGAGTTATTAGGCGAAAGGTAATTTGTTGCAACAGTCGGTTTGTTACACACCAGCCTGGCAGACCTCGATGAAGTTTCAGTTTTCTCAGCATCACATCTGAAATGTTGGGCATTGCGTCAGACTTGTCCTTCGTCTCCACGCTACTGGCTGTGTTTGGAGAGAGCTGAGGACCTGCAGACACATCACAGCATAAATCTGACCTGGAGAGAAATACCGGGTCTTTGTGCAAATATTTACTTTATGTACTTTATATTTTTTCACACTGTTACTTTTTGAACATGAAATGCATTTATTCTTTTTGCGTCTTTTGGCTGTCAAATCACAACTAGGTCAAGTTCAAGTTAAGTCTCAAGTCCTAATTTTTGCTACTTGTCTGACTGAAATCCAAGTCTCAAGTCTGCAGCTTTGTTTGTTTCCAACACAAAGAAATACATAAAATGTTCTCATTTCATCAGACGGTGTTTGGCTCACATGCTTTAACAACTATGCCATCTGCTGATGGAAAATGAAAACAGCATTTGTTTCTCTGTTACGACGCTGCCAGTAAATGGGTGGCACAGAGGAAAAAAAACAAAAAAACACGAGAACGGATCATCATCATTTTCTGACTGGATTTTCCCTGAGATTCAGGAAGTGCACACCCTTGGCGACTTTGCTAAATGTACTGTTGATAATACTTTCTGTCTTACATGAACAAGAGGGCAAACAAGGACTGTTACCTTTTTCCTGTTCAGCAGCTTCACTCAAGTCTGGTAACTTGGATCCCACTATGCTTTGGTTACGCATCAGCTTGTGCTCCTATATACACAAACACATACCAAAAGAAAGCATGTATATTTCACTCTTACAACATTTTACCAAAGTGCCATTAGCCTATAAAAAAAGTAAAAGATGACAGTAACATGTTACATGTGAGCTGCTGAACCAGTGCTTTACCTCTCTGAGTTTAGACAGTTTCTGTACACCCCCCGGCTGGCTGGGGAGGTCTTTGTACCCTGAGGACTTTAAGACAGCATCTCTGGGCTTATCTGAGAAGGTGTCCTCCACTGTAGGAGGGAAACTTGGGGCTCCGTTTCTAGAATTAAGGCTGCCTACAGCATCCCAGGAAACAGCCCTCATTAGTGGAGGGAAGGCCCCGATTGTCTTGATCTCTGCTGTACAGGGGACCTGTTGAGTTTGGGGTCGGGGGACGGGCTTGGCCACTCCTGTGGCCGGGACCTGGTTGGGATTTTGGCCTGAACCAGCTCCCTCATCTGCTTTATTGACCGCTGGAGGACTCTTAGGTACAGCAGGATCACAGTTGTCCTTCTGAACAGCAAAACGGGGCGTTAGAGTCCCAGAGGACACTTTCCTTTTCTCAGTGGGCTTCCAGTCAACCAACAGCCTGCCCTGAGGTCAGCAAGATAATGACTATAATTAATACATTTATCACTCCTGACGTGAGAATAAACCTGTAGTATTAGAATTACATTTCCATATTTGTATTGACAAAGAATATAGTAAACTCCTGCATACTGTCAGAACCTTCATCGAGCATTAAACTCAAGAGATGTTAAAAAATGAGTCTAGAGCCACACTCCATCCAACCCAACCTCCTCCTTTGTCGCTCAATATACCACGACGCCTGACTACCTCTTTTGCTCCTGTCATAAGTACCATGGCTACCAGAGGTCACCTGACAATAAAATGCAACTCTGGGTCGTAAAAAGCTGCTTACACAGACAACCTATGGGATCATTTTTTGCAGGAAGACATTCTCTGTGAGTTTAACACCTGACAAAGGTCTACGTGTGAAATGGGCTGTCCTCAGTAAACTTAAAGTTCACAGTGTGCAGGAGGGGACTTTTTTTGTTTTGCATGAAACGTTACTCTTTATTGGGTGTGCATCAGACAATAATATATTTGTGTCAATAAAAGAAAATGGAGGGAGTGAAAATGTAAATCTGACCTCCTGATCCTGGGTCGTTATGTCAGGCTGTTCTCGCACTGAAGGAACCTCCAGATGCTACAAGAAACCAACACATAGCAAGTTTTCCTGTGTTAATAAATAATACTTGGGCCAATAAGTACAGAGTGATTGATTAGATTAAAACCAGGTTGGACTGATCATTTAATTGTTAAGGCATGTCAAGAGTTTTACACGAGGCAACGAATTATTACTACAAATAATATGAACATGGCCAGTTTTAAATGGGGTAAAATGTATTACACCACAAACCCCCTCACATGTTTTTTATTAACAATAATTTCTTTACCTGACCAATAGACTGTGAGCTGACATGGGTCAACTCCAAGGGTCCTACAGCTGAAAGAGCAGAAAACAACCAACAGAATCATATCATCATCTCTCACAGAGCCCACTGGACAAATAATTCAATAACAGGAAATAGGACACAAAAGTTACAAATGAATAGTAAATACAGAAGCACTTCAGACTTAGAATCAAGTACATACCAGTTTGCGGGGCCACAGTCAGTGAGCTGCTTCTAGACGAGCACGGTGAAGATGAGGGAGTTGGAGTTGGAGAAGGACCTGTGGAAAAAAAGAAAAACATTTGTGAACTAAACACATTCCTCATTTAGTTCAGTGAAAAGTTCAATAAAGTAACAAACTAAATAAAAAAAAAAAAAGGTATAAAGGTTAACATACAGTTCTCCAGCGCATGCTCAGAAACACTCAAAAGTATCTAAAAAAAAAATTCATTTAAACTCACTGAGACATCATGTGACTTCATGTTTAAGAATTCAGATCCCATGTTCAGGGTTGTCTGCGTGTGCATGTGTGTGTTTGCACAGCATGCACTACCTGTGGGTGACTCAGTGAGGCTGCTGGTGGAGCGGCGGCCGCGCCGCGTCAGGAAGCGGTCGCTGACCTTCTTGGCCTGTTCGAGCAGCTCCAGGTTTTTCTGTCGATCCTCCTCAGAGAGCTGCAGCTCCGGCAGCTGATCTTTCACCAGGTCGATCACGTTACCTGTGCTGTCTGATAGAGACAACGCACACATGTACACACAAACCCCAAAAACCCACGTGACACACACGGACATCCACAAGCACACTTGTTTTGATTCCAGATTTTTTTCTACAGTAATTATAACATATCAAGATACAAGCAAACAAAATGTAGTTACCAACAAACAGCAATGTTCAAGTTATTTTGGGGGGCATTTTTGCCTTTATTCTGATAGGATAGTGAAAGACGGACAGGAAAGTCAGAGAGAGAGAGAGAGAGAGAGAGAGAGAGAGAGAGAGAGAAAGAAAGGGGACGACATGCAGCAAAGAGCCGTGGGTCGGTCTCGAACCCTTGGCCGCTGCGATTAGGACTAAGCCTACGTGGCACGCGCTCTACCAGGCGAACCACCGAGGCGCCCCGAGTAGGGTTGCTTGCTTATTTTTAACAAAAACTTCTGGTAAGCATGCTTTAAAATGTATACATTTGATGACATCTATAAGAAATGTTTAACTAACGCTGCTGGATTGGAGCCATTTCAAGAGGAGTCATGTCTCAAGGACATTTTAGTGGGATTCCTCAGTTTAAAGTCTTTAATGGCAAGGAATAATTCACAGATGGATCTGAGCCAATAAATCAGGTGATGAGGACGGCCCAAGTCAGGGATGTTTTTTATCTCCCCCTCTCCTCAGAAAAGGGAATCAAGCTAAACGTCAAGCGTAATCAAAACAGCGAAGGCATCTCAGGCATTTGGGAGGACACAGCGATAGATTAATCTCGCAGGGCATCGATGACCAAACTTAGTCTAAAAGGGAGTGAAACTGTGTAACTACTGTACAGAGCACGCGAGCGTTATCGTGTTTTTAATGAAATCACAGCAGCTTTGAAATTATATTTCCGCAAAGAAGCATTTTTGATAAAGTTGATAGTTAAAAATGTTCGCTTAAAAACAGAAAAGCAGCTCACTTCTGGACCAAAGTTAATGTTGCCAATGATAACATCAAAATAGTTCTCATAGTGTTGTGTTTATCTTTAGGTAATTACATCTGCAGTGTGTGTGTGTGTGTGTGTGTGTGTGGGTGTGTGTGTGTGTGTATGTGTGTGTGTGTGTGTGTGTGTGTGTGTGTGTGTGTAGGGTTTACCCACCGACTGTGGTGATGGGTCCTCCAGAGGAGTTTCTGGCCAGCCGAGCTCTGGGACTGTGTGGTCTGAGAAAGGAAACCGTAATGATTCGCTCACATTGTCCCTGTTTACAGCTAAAGCACAAGAAAACTATTTCAGTGTTTGAGATGGTGGACGATTACCTGGCCTGTTCCAGAGGACGTCCATCTTGTTGGACAATAGTGGCCTGCTGTGGGTAGACGATGGTTGGGGCAGTCATGACGACAGCTCGAGTTTCACCTGGTGCAGACTGTGAAAAAAAAAAAAAAAAAACAACTGTCGAACTTCATTCATTCAGCTTTCAACACAGATGTGGACATCATGCAGGAATGAAGCTGGAGAACATTTAACATCAACATCATTTTTGGCCTCCCTCAACCAGACAAGGACACCTGATTAGTTAAAAATGCAATTTACTGCCCATTGTGCTACAGTGCCAAATAAATATGCCCTCCTCCTCTTAGAACTTTAATAAAGACTGGTTCAATAGACGTTACAATACTGGGGTAAGGGTTACGGTTAGGGGGGAAGAAATACTTTCTTAAAAGGAAAGTCTCCTCAAAATACTTTGTGATGGAAAAAAAATATGGTTGTGCTTTGTTCAGACAGGCACCTACAGAGTTTTTCAGCAGAAACTCTTTGCTATACAGGTTCAAGGTACAAGTTCTGATGGTCAGACATTTGTTAGATCTATGGCCTGGGGTGTTCCAGTGGCCAAGTGGTTTCAGGCACTGGTCATGAACTGCAATGTCCCTGGTTTGACTCCGGCGAGGGACCTTTATTATTCTCATTTCCTGTCATCTCTCTTATGTCTGCTCTCAAATAAAGGCACTAAATGTGTCCAAATACTAAAGAAAAAGAACTAGAGACCTCAAAGAATGAGTATGAATTACTTAAATGAGAATATATATATATATATGATAAATTATGTTGAATTTAAATGTCAACATACATCCCCGTTTCAAACACAAACCCCAGGTTTTGTATTTAGATAAGGCCACGGCTTCTGGAATGAAAGGTCAAGTTTTACAATATAAAATTCCTGTCCAACTATTAAAGGTAAGTATGCAATAAAACACAGACTGAGATAAAACGCTAATTCCCTAAGAGCTCCTCTCGGAGCTGATCTTTGCATCAGAATCCTAATAAAAGGAATCGCCCTGATGTAACAGTGCAGACAGGCGGCAGAGAGGCCATGGCTGTGCTGCAATGAAGGTGGATGCTTTTTTAGTGCTGGCATATGCCCTGAAGATTAGATTTTACAGCTTCATTACATTCTACAGAGATGTCTTATCTAGTCTGTGTGTTTATGAGTGACTGCAGCGGAAAACAATGTTCTCCAAGGACTCAGACAGCCGACTGTTTAACACTTTGTTGTCTGCAGAGCGTTTAGTGAAAAGGATTCTGAATCAGCATTATGCTCATCGTGATGTTGTGATATTCTGAAACAGAAACTGTATCTCTAATCTTGTGCATGTTCATGATTCAAATGGTTAGTTCGCCCAAATGACAAAAACTACCAACTGCTATCTAGTCATGTGTTTAGTTTTGGTTTTGGTTTTTCAGTGCTCTCAGGAGCATACACGAAATTACATTTACTGAGTTGACAGCAGGAGTTGCAGAGGTGTATAACTAAAATAACCTGTATAATCTCGCAGATAGTTTAATTAAAAAAAATAAAACGTTTTTTAAAACTAAAACTATCTTCAAGGGCTGACAGCACTAGGAGTAAATGAGAAAACATTTTGTATACTTTGATAAACCGACCCTTAAAATTTGACCTTGCACCCAAGTAATTTTTTATTTATAAAAAGGAAAAATACAATTTTATCCCAATGCAAAAATCAAAGGGCATAAAGCTGATTTTATAGAGACAATGTATTGACCAGACAACAGAGAATAAACCAAAGAGTTGTCTGCACCCTGAACTCCAGCGAGGCCAGTGAGCTCTACTGCGAATTCCAATCTTTTTGGGAGTCCTCAGCGGTGGCTTAACCACAGGTAATTTACTATATAAGCCAAACAAAGCGGCTCATGAAATATCCACAAATCAGCGGAATTTAGATTAATTTGTTAACATTATGTGGGAAACCACTAAACTATGAGTGGAGAGCCAAAAAACTAAAACCAAGTCAAATGCTAATAAGGTATTTACAATAGGTAGCATTAGTAACTTCTGCTGCTGCAGCACAGTCTCAGTTTGATCACCACAGGGAGCGTTTGTAACGGAGGGGTGAAAACAAATGTGTCATTGAGGAAAAGAACACTGTGATCTCATTTATTAATCAAATGTTTCTACCCTTTATATACAGTCTATGGTTTCTGCTGATCAACTGAGAGCGGTATTTTGGAGCCAGTGTCACTTTTTATGCGCCTCATCAGAAAGTGGTAGCGTGTGCACTCACTGTACTGGGAGAACTGGAGGAACTATCAAGCTCCTCGGGGGAGTCCTCCTCTTCCTCAGGCAGTGTGGGCATGGCGGGGGGCAGTGAGGGGCGAGAGCGGGTGTGGGGGAAAACGAAAGTTCTCTCAGCAGCGCAGGGGCCGTCACACCACTCCTGGAAGTTACGGTCACTTCGTTCAGGAGGAGGTCCCTGCAGTAAGACTTTCTCCTCTTCCTGGAGCTGCAAGATCATAAAGCACATGATGCAAAACACAAACACATGTATGTTATGCAGAGTTGAGACATGTGCATAAGAGGAGCAAATGTTGAGGAAAACTGCATTAAACCGGTACATTAACTGCTGATCTGAGAAAATGAAATACACATGAATGGTAGTATTCAGTTGAAAGTCCCTTCTGGCTTACCGCAGCTAAAAAAAGATACACCCGAACAAAACCGTCCTACTATAAACAAGTCTTCATTCTCCACTCCTTGCGACAGAAGAATTAGCAATTTTTCCCCAACAGACTGTTACTAATTCATCAGAAACAAAACCTCTGTCTTCAAGCTGTCACTGAATTTTCCTATGACTCAAGTGTCTTGGCTTTTTAACTTTCAATAGCTCAGGAAAAGAGCAAGCTTCACAAGAGAAGTGACACAGCCAGGACCAGAAAGGGCCATCGTTTGCACCGAGCATAATACGTCCGCATTATATGCTTACTTCATTTCCAGTAACAGTCATTTTCCAGTTCCAATACTGAGGTGGAAAAATATCACAAACCATTTAATCAACCATGCTGTCAGGAAGGTACAACGAGTGACAGTTGTTGTGTTGTTGACCACGACTGAGGGCAAATCTGGGTGACAATTGAGGTCAAATGAAAGGATCAAATGAAGAAAGAGGAAGAGTAAACTTTTTGTAATCATTTCATCACAGGCCCTCTCTGCTTTTAAAAGTCCACATCTGCCGCCCAATTAGAAAATAAACCCCACAGCTCACTCTGCACTGAACACCTGATACTGAGAGAAGACTACAGGACACTGCTGGGGGCTGACAGGGTGACATATCATTAACCTGCTGGCTGCTGCTTATCTTGTGAACCCCACAGTTCATTGCTGCTCACACCGCTGTGTAAGAATCATATATAAGTGACCAGATTATAAAAACATATTAATATGACCAACGCTGTGGACAAGACTCATAACTGGGATACTGACACTATCTACACCGACCCTTATCTACACCCTGAGATTAAACAGAGGTGATTGATGTGCTGAGCCAGGCAAATTCAGACTGGTTGGTTACCGACAGTAAATCCAGATGTTTTCTCCTGGAATCACAGCTGTCAAAAAGTGATCTGCTGAGCCACAAAATAAATGAAAATACCACTCAGCATGTGAGCAAAGCATTATGTTGTGTATATTTCAGTGACATTTAGCTAAACCTAATCTCATTACTGCTGCTGGTTGAAAACTTCAGTATTTTGTAGATTTTGAGGTTAATAAGTGTTTGTCTAAATCCTGTCCACATCTTCCTGAGTCAGCAGATCCACACTGACACCCTTTCTCTATGGATTTTATAGAAAACAGTGTCGGGCACTAAACAAAATATTATAAGAAAAAAAACACATAGTGTCGTAATGCAGATGTATTCAGCTGTAAAACAAAAAAAATCCTTCACAAATTCTAATGCAGGCTTAAAATATGCACTGGAAGGTTTGTAACGTAGAACTAAAATGAATACTGAATCATATGTGGACATTCATAAAGGATAAAATCTGTTACTGATAATAGCTGCAGCTACATAGATGTAGAAATGTCAAAGACACAGACGACCAGAAAAAAGATTTGCTCATATCATTTCCTGAATATGATTAAAACCAGGATAAGTCATAAGAGCATGTAAAACTAATATAACTGACAGGTTATAACTGTCATAACTATTAAATAGAATTTTAATTGAGTTGAATAAAATATTATCAATTTTTTGTAACTGTTATAACATATTTCCATGAATATCTTCTTCTAAGGGCCACCACTGAAAGTCACACATAGGGCGCCAACAGGTACTGCAACCCAAACAACTAAATAGGTCGTTTGTCCCCACCCTCTGATATGACTCATAGGAGCGTTTACTGAATTAGTGCCTCTACAGCGGCAGGAGATATGCCACAGATAAACTGTTAAAAACCAATGTTCAAAAATAAATAACTAACCCTTTAAGAATGTGACAGTCATGTGCTAAAGGTTTGGTTAGGTTTAGGCACCGGAACAACTTGGTTAGGTTTAGGAAAAGGATCGTTTAGGATCGCGGTTTGGGTTAGGATAAGTACTTCGTTCAGGATACATGGTTCATGGTTACAATGCTGAACATGCAGTTAAGGTTATAGAACGATCACGGTCATGGTTAAAATAAACAACATTGACTGTGTGTTTGAAACGTGAGACAGACAGTCGACCCATCCATCCACTTCAACCTCCTCCCAACAAGTACTTTGCTGCTCTTTATACCACATAATTACTATGGCCACTAGAGGAATGTAAACATGTCGTTTTGGGGCATTTGTTGAAATGAGAAAGATTCTGTCTCATACGACCGCTAGATGTTGCTTAACAGTAAAATGTAACAAGGTGTTACAGTATAATAAGCTGTTTGCACCAATTACCTATGGGGTCGTTTTTTTATGGTCTCGAAAAGGCCCAGGTCGGTTTTGCAAATGTTTAACGAGGAAGGAAATTCATTCAGCACATTCGTTAGACCTCAAGGATAAACACTGTATTTTGGTGAGAAACACAGAATCTTAACATAACGTTTGTTTGTTTACAAGAAAATACCACAGGGCACCTTGACGTTTATGAATATATTTACTAGACCTTCCTTCACTGGGAAAGTGGAAGAAAAAAAAAAAAGATGCATTAAAACTCATCTTTGGGAGATACTGAAAAATGTATTAGATTCTTCTAGACTCATAACAAGCAATAATCATTTTTATCTGAATGAGTGGAACCATACACAAAAACAGCAATACTGACTGTGACTGACAATGCAAATAAATACCAGTCATGACTGAGCCCGACTGCTGAGCCCTTTAGCAAAGCTAACGTTTTTTCCCACACTGTTACTATTTTGACCAAACTGGTCAAAGAGACTGGGATGCACTGGGTTGTTAACATTCAAGCTGACTGAGGCAATGAGCTCCTGAGGGACAAAGTAAAACAAACAGAGGGTCTTGTGGATAAATTATGGAAGGAACATAAATATGAGTACAAGCATAAAGGATAAATGAGAAAAATTACTACTCTGCACGAAAATGTTTTTTCTCACCAAAAGCTAATCAACAGTGAATTTATTAAATCTCAGTTTATTAAAGTTAAAGGTGGAAGACATTGTCTGTATTATTTCAATAACAGATATATATATATATATATATATATATATATGTATATATTACATAAAGTGAAGACAAATGGCAAATGATATGACAAAGTATGAAAAGTAGAAGAAGAAAGCCGACAGCGTTTAGCTATGAGGAGAAAGAAAATAACTGAGGAAATTATAAAAAATGAAAAGTATCCTGCTCCTAGGAAAGAGGTTGGAGCGCTTAACTTGAACCAAAGTCAGGATAGTGGACACGGCATATGTTCCTGGTATTAATGATCAGTGTTGTTGGAGCTTCAGCAACAGAGAACGGATTATATCTGTGCAAACATATGCTAGTGGAATATTTTATTTGTCAAAGACTGTCTCACTGTATATTCAAATCTTTACCAAATCAAAAACAAAGCCTGTGGTACAGTTTGATAGCAGATGGGCAACTAATGATTATTCTAATTACTGCTTAATATGCTGGTTATCTGATGATGACTATTACCATTGTTTAATTTTCCATAGTACAAAGTGACATCTAACTATTGTCACAAATGTTCACCAGTTCAACTAGTGAATTTATTGTTTTAGTTTAAAAATTACTCAAAAGAATGATTTAGTTAGCAAAATGTTCACTGATTATTTTTCCATCGATACTGCAGCAGTTACCTGGCTCACTACAGAGAAGCATGAGCTATTTTAGTTAAATGTTAGGTGTGTGCAACTGAACGTTTGTTTGAACTCACAGCGCTTCCCTTTTCAGTAACAAATGTATGCAAATCTAAATGTGGAATTAATTGTGGAGTTAACTCTTTGAAGGAGCACAGTGAACTCAGAGGAGTCAGTGTGGGGTTAGTGTATTTGATGCTAATGTAACCACCCACTCACTCCACCCACCCACCCTCACACACCTCTCCTCATTTGTTTGGTGTCACTAAAAATAGACAGATTTACATACACAGGTGTAGCTGTGTTTCTGCCGCCAGTGCTTGTCGTCACTTGCGGCAGCTGATGAATACGGCCAGGGAAAGGTGTGATGAATTACTGGTTATTTCAGGGGTATGGCATGCACTTTACACAGGACAAATCCTCGGTGAATTCAGGGCCAGAGTATTCAGAGTACTGCTCAGTGTCATCACAAACATGACAAGTTCTTGGGAACATATAGGGACAGAGGGGCTGTGAGTCACTGGGGAGGAAATGGGTTGTTTAACTGTCTTCCAGAGAGCTGCGAGGATATTTCCTGACTGGTGTCATGCAGGAGTAAATTCACTTCTCTTTCTCAGCCTGCAGTACAGAAGTTTTTGTTCTTTAAAAAGCAGTTTTACTACACTGCTGTTGAGCTTAATAGATGTTGAATGTCATGCTGTTAAGGAAAGCGAGCTCATTTATCTTTTGCTGACATGTACTCGTTTCATCTTATTCTCAGCATACACCGTCATCTCAGTCTACCTCTTCAGTTGTTATTTATCAGTGTAGATGAAAAGAAATCAGCTTTGAGGTTCTCAGCATATATAAATATGAGAGTGAGTCACTCTGAATATTTCTAATGTGATTACCTAATTGCCCCTGAAGTTCAGGGCAGTTTTGGTAACAACCACCTGCCTTTTTTTCGTGACTGACTAACCACATGGATCTGAATTCCATTTTGCATAATCACTTTGTTTTATTCATTCATCAATATTCTACTTTTTCCACAGCTGCAACAGTTGTATTGTCTTATCAAAATATGCCAAATAAGGAGAGGAATACTTGTGTACTAGAAGTTTGTGTGTCTGTATACATCATCTGAGAATACTGCCATATCTGTTTTAGTTCATTTCACTTCTTACTAAGCAACCAAAAAAAAAAAAAAAAAAAAAAAAAAAAAAAAAAGTGAAAATGTTTAAAGTCTTTTGATGACAGACTCCTGCTTTCAAGCAAAGAAATATCGAAGCCGACCGTGTTTCTCCTGCTGACAGAAGCAGAAAAAACTATTACCTCTTGAAAATGCCTCAGCCCAAACAAAGATGCCAACCTGCACTGTGGGAGGCTCGACTGTTTCCCCGGCAGACCATGAGACTGAGATAAATATTGCAGAGTAATTGAATCACTCAGATTATTTCCTGTGGGGGGAAACAGGACAGAACATACAAGCCTGAGCACAGAAAGCCCCTGCACCACAACTCCATAAGGACATGAAAATCTTGTTCTTGCAGTGTACACTCATCTTCTAAAAGAAAACTTCTTTGTCCATCAGAACCATCAGAGTCAGGATTAACTCCTCATTGCAGCCAGGCCTCGCTGCCTCTTTCCTCAGAGGGAGACGAAGGGACCGGCACCCTCCTCCCCTCCTCTGTTACATAAGCCTGCTCCCTCTTGCCAGATTTGTTTAAAATTTGGTTGTGTGAAGCACTGAGTACAGGACCAGCAGAGGAAGTGGTTGCCACAGGGCTACAATCTGAGATAACATGGCAGAGGAAGCGTGAGAAAGAAATAGAAATGCATGTAAAGCCAGGTTTGAGGGAGAATATAAATGCACAGACTTTAAAATCGCTTGACCACACACTGACGAGAGGGCAAGATGACACAGAGTTTCACCTCCAGACGAACACTAGATTATGTAAACTCACCGGGGCAGCTACAAGTCAGACCAACAACGCTTTCAAAAAGTCCCTGAACACGAACTCTTGCACAAATGGCTGATAGAGCTGAAACTGCATCTCCTGAAGCTGCATGTGTCCACCTAAAGCCATCACCATCAAAGACCCCGCAGCTCTACGCAGCCCACAATCCAAACCTGTCCAGAGACGGCATGCACATTACCTGAGTCCACCGCTGTAGTGCTGTAGAGAAACGCACACGCTCACGCTGATCCCTCCAACTAACACCGACTTCCCACAGTCAAGCTGTCACTCTGTCACTGCCTTTCCCTCAGAAAACTCCTCTTTCCTCGGGGCTTCTCCTTCCCTCTCCCGTCCCCTCTGTTCCCTGTCTTTTTTCAGCAGCAGCCTCTCTTTCACTCCTGGGAGCTTTGACCATTTAAGGAGAAGGGTTCTGTATGCCTCTTTGGGCTGCTGTGGAGTGTGTGTGTGTGAGTGTGTGTGTGTGAGTGTGTGTATGTGTGTGTGTGTGTTCTCCACTGATCATCCCTCAACTAAAACCTGAAGAAAGCTAGAAAAGTATGTTCCGCAGGGCTTGTTTTTGTTTCTGTAATCATAGTGTGGGAGCAGTAGGAGACTGTTTTGTGTGTTGTTGTATGCGAGGGCATGTTTGTGGGAGACTGATAGATGGATAGATAGATTGCATCCGTCCGATCTGTGTTTACTCTGCAGCCTAAGAGGAATCCACGCATCCACTTCCGAGCTCTTGAGGATCATTAATGTTTGGTGAGCTGCAATGGTGCACAAACTTTGCACCATTTGTGGTGCTTTTCAGAGGCGAGAGATTTGGGTTCTAAGAGCTGCAATCATCCTGAATGTTGTGGAAAAAAAAAAGAAAAAAAAGAAGCACAGCAGTCACATTGTTTGGAGCACCACATCTGACGTTCACAGCGAATTACAGCACCACAGTTTGAATTAACGTGAGATGATGGTCTGAAGTGTTACAGTGTGAAGGAAATTGTGTATCAATGGAGTAATTTGTGCAAAAAAAGTCAGATGCTCCTCTTATCTAATTCAACTTGAGTGAAAATCTTCTTGTTGTTGTTCTTCTTGTTGTGTTGTTTTAACCAAAGCCAGCAGTGGATGTATTCAGATTCTTTACTAAAGTAAAAGTACAAATACAACAATGAAGTACTATGATCAAAATATACTTCAAGTATTTGTTTTGCAGATGAATGCTATATATAAACTATTACTGATGCATGACTGTGTAGGCAGCATTTTACTGTTGTAGATGGTGGAGGTGGAGCTAGTTTTAGCCACTTTATACTTAAGCAGTTTGGTCCACTGGCTCCCAAAGTCACAAGATAAATCTGTGGGGTCCTGAGATGATTATTTGATGAGGTACTACACAAATCTTCTTTCAGTTTTCTTTTTTCTTTTCTGTAATTTTTGCTTTATTTTGAAATACTTGCCTTGGACTGTTAACCATCTGAAAAGGTTAGAGGGGAAATTCCTCTTGGCTGATAAATGTTCTTATCTTACTTATCTGAAAAGTGACAAAATGCTTTTTTGTAAGGGACAAGCCAAAAAGGCTGGGAAACAACTGGTTAAATTTTGTATTGTACATTTTGCATTTTATAAAGCTTATCATTTATTTCTAAAATCTTACTAATTTTGCTTTAGGTCTCTCTAGCATTTATAAGCAACATATAAACACCTGATAGGTGGTTTATAACTCACTGTGATTTAGCTGTGAAGAGATGTAAGTGTTTATTATGACAGGTAATGAATATCGTAAAACACAGATGGAATAATATAAAATGTCTTCATAGAATAAGTTATGATAATTCTGTCTGTATATTGGCTTGGAACTACATTGGAGTTAATGAAAACCTAAAATAAGGTGTTAGTGTTAACCAGTGACTAAAATGTATACTATACTATAGTAAGCATAGCCTGATAAATGTTTTGGAATAAAAACTACAATATCTTCCTCTGAATTGTAGGGGAGCAAAAGTAGAAAGTATTATAAAATGGAAGTACAAGTAACTCTGAATTGTACTTCAGTACAGTACTGGAGTTAAAGCACTAAGTTACTTTCCACAACTTCAATAACATTTCCAACAGGTCATTTAAAAAAAAGCCATAGACATACGTACACACAACACATTCAGCATGCAGCTCAGCCTCTACAAACAACAAGATAATATTTTACAGTAATAATGCAGGAGAGACTCACCTTGCTGCAGCTGCCTGGTCCTGTACCACCTGTTGGAGCCAGAGCACAGACAGACAGTGAAAACAGCTGATTTGCATTTAACAGGAACCATGTGCAATGCAAATGTCAAGAGACGGTTAAAAAAAGAAAAGAGTAAGTGAGTGAGAGAGACATTGTGTGAGAGAGAAACAGAAAGAGAAAACAAATTGAGTTTTCTGTCCTGTGAGGCTGCCGCTCGAACAGTGATACTCACTTGATTGGGAGAACTACTGTAAACTCTTGTTTCAGGAAGTGTCACCCCCCCCTCCCCACATACACCCCCACCCACCCCTTTAACTAGGGGCAACAATAACCTGGCAACCATCTCGAGTACATGAGGTGCTTGATCCGCTGGTTGAAAGCTTTCAGCCCAAGTAAAAGCTATTGTGCTGTCTGCTTTAGGTGCCCTCAGGGAAAGGTTTGTTAATATTACGATACCAGCAACTCACAGACGTTTATGTAGAGCACCGTCAGAGCTGAATGCCAATATTTCACTTTAAACGTAACTAAACCACAAATAAACCAGTTTTATTCACATATGAGAGGATACAGATAAAAAAAAAAAAAAAAAAAAAACACTTCCAAGAATTTGGACTCAAATCTGACTCTAAAAATATCATAAAACCACTGTTTGATGCAGCATTTCACAGCCAGATTTCACTTCACAACTCATCACACAAATCTTTAAGGAAAACACTCGACAAAGCTACCCGAAGCAACCAGTGTATGACGAGATGGAGGCGATGAAGATGCACCGTAGATGCTGGGAATATCTTGGCAGCTGTGTCAACATCCACACGTTCGTCCTAATTTAACCTCATTTTCACTTCAAATGCCATCAGATGCTTCTGTTTTTCTCCCGCGATCTTCACAGTATCTCTTTTCTTGGAAGGGTTCAGCCTCACCACAAATTAATTCCCATTATCCCAGAGATTTCGGTATTTCCACCGTTCTTTAATTTATAGTTTGCCCATCAAAGAGCGCACTGTTTACAGCCACCGCCACACACGGAGCATTAGAGACCCACTGCTTCTCTAAATTATTTACATTCAGTCTCCAGTAGATCTTTAATCATCACACAAGCTGACTGTGTCTGACAGCAACATAAAACCTAAAAACAAGTTTTATTCCTTTGTAATGATACAGTGCTATGCCTAAAGTTGATTTAGTCTCACATTAATGTTTTACTTTTGCAAGCTGGATAAAGGAGGAATTAATAATAGTTTTAAAAGCCTTAATGGAGGCAGAGTGTTCCATTGTACATAGAGACAGACATTTAAAAGCTCAACATTTATCATTGTTAGTGATGCCGTTTGCCTCATGGATGAAGTTTATGTTATAATTTTTCGGTCATGCTAGCAGCATTTCTCCCTGGATGGCAATTTATTAGTCCACCTGCTAAACATCAGCATGTCAGCATTGTAACATTGGAGTATTCTGACATTAGCATTTAGCTCAAAGCACCAGGTGTGCCCAAGTACAGCCTCACAGAGCTGCTAGCTTGGCTGTAGACACTCTGTATTGTTATTATGAGTACGTGTCCTCAGTATCCGCTCGTCCCACTACATTTTTGTAGACCTTTGTGATGTTGTTGTGAAATTTTGATCATTATTTGCCACTGAATGTATCATAAGTTTCTCATAGCAGCTTTTATTAAAATTTCTCTGGTGTATCCCAAAATATGTGCTTTGGTGTTGTTTTGTCTGCCTCTTGTTTTGCTTGTTTGTTTCTTTTAATGCTTAATATTAACATGTCTGGGGATTGGAGATGAAAACTAGCATTTTCTTTCAGGTTTGTGGAGATTAATATGTGCTGTCCCTGATAAATACTTTAAAAAGTAAAGTATTCACAAGGCAGTGCCAACATCTGTAGCTGGATGTGTGGGGAGAGCCCCAAATAAGATGAGACCTTCCTCACATTAACATTAACAATAACTGGCTTTTATTACACACCATCCACATCTTGTGGTACAGTAGCCATCAGTCACAAAGTGGCAGTGCACATACCAACTTTTATGACATGAATGACTGGCATAAAATGTTTATTGATCATCTTGCTGCTGCTGCTGCTTTTTTGTGATGTGGATGCAGCTTCATTTGGTTAGCAAAAACAAGCCTACGTCAATGTGGCACTGGACGGTTTAAATTTCAGACAGAGGGATATAAAATAACAACAAGCAGACATGGAGATGACAACTGTCTGTTCATTTAAAATATCATTTCCCCCTCTGAAGCCACCCACTGGTTCTCAGTAACACCCACATGCTCCTAACTCGCTTTTCTACATCACAAATAAACAATTAAATATAAGACTTGGCCCTCTGAGCCATCAAGGGACTCTTCTTGGGGAGGGAGAATGTGGAAATATTTGCCATGACCTTTCAGGGCTGGAAAAACTTATTGACACATGATTAGAATTGGAAAATATGTAATGAAATGTCAAACTTATTAGTGCATAACCAGCAGCTTTGCAGGGACATAAATAGTTTAAGTGTTTTCCTTCATTTTTGTGGCTAGAAATAAAAATGCTATGCCAAGCTAATCAGCTGCTGGCTGTAGTTTTTTCATATTTACTATACTTTACTATACTTCATCATTGGCAGTCATAGTAAACGTCCTACGAGCTTTTCCAAATCTTTTGAAGAAATTATGTTCTTTTATTCACATTTAAATTGTTCCTCTTTTGTTAAAGCCTGCATTGTGTATTTTGTGAACTACAGGCCCTGCATTTCCCAGTGTCTCTAGATAAATTTTCTCAAAGCCCTTCAGAACAAATCAAATGACAGGAAAAAAAAAACCTCTTCCAGTATAGAAGTGGTGGGACTCTCCCTATGTTTACATAAAAAAAATGATTCTGACCGCCCCTAATTTCCCCCACACTGCCCTTTGATAGATAGCATACACTCCCTAAGAGCTTTTTCTCTCTTCCTCCTTACTGTACCAGCTGTTGTGTGCAATATAAATATCTGCACAGTCTATTTTCAGACATCCTCAGAGATTACAATTAGAAAAGG